GGGAAGATCCCCTGGAGAAGGAAATGGCAACCCACTCCTGATTCTTGCCTGGGAAACCCTGTGACAGAGGCCCCTGGTGGGCTATAGTCTACAGGGTCGCAAAAGATTTGGACACAACTTAGGGACTAAACAACAAATAGTATTAATAACAGATAGACTCTAAAATATATAATGACTCACACACAATAGAGGCTTTCTCTCTTTCAACAGATCAAGGCAATTCTAATGTTTTGATAACTATTTCTTCAAGTAGTGATTCGGGGTGCTAAGCTATCTGTGGCTCTCCAATCTCATGGGGCCTTTGGCTAGAATTCAAGAGTCCGCTAACCTCCAAAGGATTCAGGGCTGCCCGTATATTTGCACGGGAAAAGTTACATCACTGTTAACTTCAAACCAAAATTTGTCATTTCCTTTAATTATGAATATAGGCAAGAACCACAGAAAGCATTATCAGTATTTGCATCTTTGTAACAAATAAATCACGGTTGTTTTTTTTTTTTATCATCACTGTTGTTGCCAAACTTTCAAAGAACCACTTATACTCAGCACACTTTCAAAATTACAGTGGTTATTAGACTTTCCTCTAGATCTTGTATTTTAATACAAAAACAAAACAAAAACAAAAACTTCATTGTGGTATGCAGGCTTTTGCATGGCCCCCAGTTTCCTGGCATTCACACCTTTGCATAATACTCTTCTAGTGAATAGAGTCTGGTGAAAGTGATTCTATGTCATTTCTGAGATTAGGCCATAACATTTCAATGGATTCTGTGCCCTCTCTTTGAGCATTTGCTCTTGGGGAGGTCATGCTGCCATGACATGAGAACTCTGTGGAGGGGTGGATGTGACAAAGGACTGAAGCCTGCCAACAGCCGTTTGAGCACGCTTAGCAGTGGATCTTCTCCCCAGTCAAGCTTCCAGATAGTTGCATCCCTAATTGTCACCTTGAATGTAGCCTTTTGAAAGACTCTGGACCAGAACTGCCCAGTTCAGCTGCTCCTAACCCACAGAAACCATGAAAAAAATGTTGTTTTATGGTAATTTGTTACAAAGTGATAGATAATGAATATACTCAGATATATTATGTATTATTGATTTTCTAAATATTCTAATAATTTTATTTAATGCAGTTTGTTTCCTTTATAATTCTAGATTTGTATACATTTAACAAACATTCTGCAAAGGGATTCAGAGGCTTCTAAGGTGTGTCAAAGGAATCCATAGTACAGTAAAGATTACAAGCCTCATTGTTGCTCTATGACGACCAGCAAAAGGAGAAAGGAGTATGGAGGAAGTATACTTTTTTATATTGGCCTAGAAGAAGACATCATTTCTGATCACATTTTATTGGTGTGGACTAGTCACATGACCACAACTTGACCCAATGAGGGCTGGGAAATGTAGTTCTTGGTGAACAGCCATTTGCTAGCCATTGGTCCATGTAAGAGGAGGATATGCTCTAATGGATAGTGCCAGAGCAAATGTTCAAAATATAAAGAAAAGCAATGAAAATAATATGTACTAGAATAGAATCTTAAAGCTCATTTGAAAATTGAACACAGAGTCAAATGAAAGAAGCAGATGGTAATGACAAATCATTTTCTGCAAAGTGATTTTTATTCCAAATGATAAGACAATCTGTAAATCTAAAGATGTGAAGAACTAGTTTGGGTTTACCATCTAGATCAGAAAATAAGAAATAAAAATCTTCTTTAGTGTACCTTAAGAATAAATTTTTGAGATTATAAACATAGAATCTTAATTTTTCTGAATTAACTGAACAAGGATGTGATAGGATTGTTGGTGATTCATTTATTCAATAAACATCTGCTGAGGGCCTACTCTATAACAGAGACTGTAGGAAGTACTGGGGAAAATGAGATGACCAAAACTGAGACAAGACCCAGAGAGCCTAGGATAAGGGAAATGGCCCAGCCAAGTAAATCCATAATGTCTTCTGCTCAGTACTGTGACATACATAACCACAGGGTGCTAAAAGCAATACACTGACAGCAGAATAATTCTTAATTACTTGTTTCATTTCAACATGCCTTGAGCTAAGATGATCAAATTAAATTGGAATGTCAAGCTCTAGTTGTTAAATAGGGTAAGACTCCTCTGGGAATCATTTATCAGGCCTTCCCAGAATCCCTAAATCCACAAAGTAAAGCTGTCCATCAGTATTCACAGAAAAGAGTCCAATCCTCTGCTGATGGGGTCATGGCAAGAAAGAATTCTTGGAGGTCCACCATGGGGTTCCATGCATGAAGTGTTCATGTGAAACAACTAGTAATGCTATGTACCCGCCAACATTTTCAAGATGACCAATGACTAATTATGACTGCTGGAGAAAAATCTAGACACAGGGAAAGTGGGCTGCCAACAGTTGATCGGTATCGGGAGCTTCCCTGATGGCTCAGCAGGTGAAGAATCTGCCTACAATGCTGAAGACACAGGAGACTCAGATTCAATCCCTGGGTCGGGAAGATCTCCTGGAGGAGGAAATGGCAACCCACTCCAGTATTCTTGCCTGGAAAATCCCGTGGACAGAGGAGCCTGTTGGGCTATTGTCCAAAGTGTCACAGCAATTCAGACATGGCCGAGCAACTGAGCATGCATCTTTGAGAGTAGGCAACCTATTCTTTCCTTGAACGGTGGCAGCCCCATGCTCAGGTACGTGGCTTAATGAGCAGATGAACAGAATGCAGCCTGGGTCCCAGTCCCATGTGACTCCCAGCTGCACATCCTGGTGAAGACAGTAATGTACATAATCTACTGTCGTGGGCAGAGGCTCTTGCATGAAAGTTCCTTGGTAAAACAGCACGTCTCCCGACTACATCTTTCTTCTGAACATCTCTCCCTTTGTGACCCTCATCTTAACAACTTGAGTTTTTAGCACCATGTCTATTATCCTTACGCAGCCAACAGGACAATGCAAGAATTATACTCAGTTTTACGATGTTGAATATTCATTCAACAAATATTTATTGATCAATTGTTCCAGTGGTCATGTATGGATGTGAGAGTTGGACTATAAAGAAAGCTGAGAGCCAAAGAATTGATGCTTTTTGAACTGTGGTGTTGGAGAAGACTCTTGAGAGTCCCTTGGACTGCAAGGAGATCCAACCAGTCCATCCTAAAGGAGATCAGTCCTGGGTGTTCATTGGAAGGACTGATGTTGAAGCTGAAATTCCAATACTTTGGCCACCCGATGTGAAGAGCTGACTCATTTGAAAAGACCTTGATGCTGGGAAAGATTGAGGGCAGGAGGAAAAGGGGATGACAGAGAATGAGATGGTTAGATGGCATCACCAACTCAATGGACATGGGTTTGGGTAAACTCCGTGAGTTGGTGATGGACAGGGTGGCCTGGTGTATGCAGTTCATGGGGTCACAAAGAGTTGGACATGACTGAGAGACTGAACTGAACTGAACTGTTCCTTGGGTGAAGAAATTAAGTATTATGCATATGACAAGGATAAGAAATGGATTATCTCATCAAACACAAGTAACTTGATGCCAAATAACTTATAAAATCATATCTTATTAAAATAGGCTTCGTCATTGCATCGATCAGAAAAAAAATACAGGAATAAGTGAGTGCTTGTCATAGCTCTATTTAAAGAAACATTTAATTTTCAAGAAGCCTTCTTTAAAAGGATCTAACTGACTCTTAGAAAGATACTAATCCTGGTGTTCTGCCCAGCTGACAGCATTTTGCCTCTGTGGTAAGTAATCAAGACCCTTCATTTGGTCAGTAGTTTAAAGTTGTTCTCAAGTCTGGTGTCAGCACACTGGTGAGTTGTAATCAGTTGTACAACATTTTGAATGTAACTTTTATATTATCAGTGTGAACTGAGATGCTCTTTCCTTTTCCTTTTATCAAAGAGAAGCATGGTGGTGGGGGAACGGCTAGAATCATCATTCATCCCAGGTGACTATAATAGAGCAAATGATTCTGGAAACAGCAGCAGCCTCACCCCAGGGACTTATTAGACATGCAAATTCTGTTCCTTCCACAGAACCACTGGATTAGAAATTCTGGGATGAGGTCCAGCAAGCCGTTGTTTAACAAACCTTCCAGGTGACTGTAATGTACACTCGAGTTTAAGAACTACTGTAATAAACCCATTCCCGGTTGATTAAATTGTCCTTATATTGTAAATAAGATCAAGAAAGAATCAAATGCTGCTTTACATGATAGACTCAGGCTATTATTTCACAGATCGCCTGGAGTAGGAAATGGCAACCCACACCAGTATTCCTGCCTGGGAAATTCTCATGGACTGAGGAGCCAAGCAGGCTACAGTCCACGGGATCGCAAAGAGTCAGACATGGCTGAGTGAGCACATTATTTCACAGATAGGATAAAAGTCATGCTCATAGGAGAAATATGGCGAATCTGGATAATGGAGAGAGATTAGTATTTGCGGAGGCAGTTGTATGTGCACCTAGGTAGTTTGAGGCAGAGAGGAAAGATTGGCTGAAGCTGTCTCTGGTGGAAAGACTGAACTGGAATCTGACTACCTGCCATCTCCTCTCTAACTCTTGAGTCTTAGAAGTCATCAAAACCCTCCACTCTCGGGGTAGGGACAGCCTGAAGTGCAGGGACCTTAGTTATATACTTTATAGTCAGACCACTCAAGATGGCTGTTCCGTTGTACTCTGAGCCCCTGCTTTACCTATATACCCTACTCACATGAATGTGCTGGCCCCATGCCTCTTAGGCCAGAATGGCTCCACCTGCTAGTTTATTAAAGGAAAACCTCTCCTGATGCTCTTTAACCCAAGGAGCAAGGAGGGAAGTGCCTCAGTTGCTGGTTTCCCTGGTCGCTGATGAGCCAATCGCTGACGTCACTGCCCCTAGAAAGGGTAGGCCCCTCCCCCGCACCAGCTGTGGCAAAGATGGCGGCTGTGTTCTGCTTACTCTCCGCCACACATGGTCATCTGTCACTCCAGGACCTTGCTTCAGATGGGTGAGACTCCCAACCTATGAAGCCATTTATGTCTGGGTCACTGTCTCTGAGCTCTTTCTTCAGACTTGAGATTGGGCAACTACAAGGCTTGTGGGCCTGAGGGGTGCAGCCCAACAATTGCCAAGCCAGCCGAGAGACTGAGGAAACTCCTGGGGAATGCCAAGGCACCAGGAAATAAGGACGTCAGGACGGGGAACAGAAAGCTGCGGGGGTGATGCCAAGGTGGCCGTCCACTAGCATGTGGGGACCTGTGACAAGTGTCTACTGGGAGAGCTAGCTTTCTCTTCCATTATATTGATATTCTGTTAACCTCAGTCTTTTTCCAGCTTAAAAAGTAGCAGCCCCATCCTCATGGTTCATCTCGTTGTAAGGGGTAGGCTTCATATAGACAAAATACAAGGACCTGGGTTAGCTACAAAAGACAAGCATACACCCAACCTATCACCCCTAAACAATTACAGGCACAGGCTTCAGGGACGTGGACTTACGAGCAGGTTTGTGAATCGGACTTGTTCAGTTACCCAGGAGGGCTTGGCTGGGGACCTGTGGCAATAGTAAAATAGAGTACTTTGGGCTTCTGACTTGAGTTCTGTCACTCCAGGACCTTGCTTCAGATGGGTGAGACTCCCAACCTATGAAGCCATTTATGTCTGGGTCACTGTCTCTGAGCTCTTTCTTCAGACTTGAGGTTGGGCAACTACAAGGCTTGTGGGCCTGAGGGGTGCAGCCCAACAATTGCCAAGCCAGCCGAGAGACTGAGGAAACTCCTGGGGAACGCCAAGGCACCAGGAAATAAGGATGTCAGGACGGGGAACAGAAAGCTGCGGGGGTGATGCCAAGGTGGCCGTCCACTAGCGTGTGGGGACCTGTGACAAGTGTCTACTGGGAGAGCTAGCTTTCTCTTCCATTATATTGATATTCTGTTAACCTCAGCCTTTTTCCAGCTTAAAAAGTAGCAGCCTCATCCTCATGGTTCATCTCGTTGTAAGGGGTAGGCTTCATATAGACAAAATACAAGGACCTGGGTTAGCTACAAAAGACAAGCATACACCCAACGCATCACCCCTAAACAATTACAGACACAGGCTTCAGGGACGTGGATTTACGAGCAGGTTTGTGAATCGGACTTGTTCAGTTACCCAGGAGGGCTTGGCTGGGGACCTGTGGCAATAGTAAAATAGAGTACTTTGGGCTTCTGACTTGAGTTGCAGAAGGGGGCAAAGCAGTGATAGAGCATGATAACATCCATTGTTCCTGTGTCGTCTGCAATGCGTTACAACAGGTGGAAGATATTACAAAAGGCCTGCCTGAGTCCTCAGGCAATGCAAAAAAAACACCAGTGTTTGGAGTCTAGAACAGCTGTGTGTCATCAGAACCCCCGTAGGACCCCATGACTGTAAGGGTTATTCAGGGTAGGTAGGGAAGGAGTGTATGATCGGGCCACACAAGATGGCTGTTCTCTTGCTCTTTGAGCCCCCTGCTTAACCAGTCCCTACTCCACTTGTGCCCTGTTCTCATAAACGTGCTTGCCCCTTAGGCCAGAAGGGCTCCACCTGCTAATTTATTAAAGGGCAATATCTACTCTTGTGATGGGCATTAACCCAAGGGGCGATGAGGGACATGCCTCAGCTGCTGGTTTCCCTGGTAGCTGATGAGCCAACCTGATGTCAATTCTCTGTGTAAATAGTAGCCTTCTTTTCCCTCCAGGTAGCAAAGACTGCTCCCATGTCTTGCCCACAGTCTGCTGCATGTGGATTCTCCAGGACCTGCTTGAGGTAAGTAAGACCTCCCATCTATTAAGCCATTGATGTCTCTGTCGCTATCTCTGGGTTCTTTTTCAGTCTCAAGGCTAGGCAACTACAAAACTTGCAGAGCTACGGGGTGTAGCCCAACATACATACAGCTATATCCACTAGCTCATCCCTACATTTTTACCAAAATATATCTATCTCTCCTTGCCGTTTTTAACTCTTAGTGTCTCTTTGCTTTCTTTCCAAAAAGCTTTTTCTGCTCCTTTGCCCTCTTCCAACAGTGGCTTTTCCTTGTTTGCCACCTTTTCTTTCAACTGATTGTATCTTACTACTCACGCTAGGTGCGCATCTTTGTGTCCATCTCCAGTGTCTCACCCACTTTCCTCATCCCAAGCCACTGGCGAGCAAAATATTTTAAAAAGCAGTGGCCTGTGTGAGACTTCCCTGGTGGTCCAGTGGCTGAGACTCCACATTCCCAATGCAGGGTCCCTGGGTTTGCTTCCTGGTCAGGGAACTAGATCCCACATGCCACAGCTAAGAGAGTTCACATGCTGCAACTAAGACCTGGCACAGCCAAAAAATAAATAAAAATATTTTAAAAAGCAGTGTCCTGCAGCACCAACTAGCTGTAATATAGATGTGTAACTCCTCCCCACATGTGTGCATGCTAAGTTGCTCAGTCATGTCTCTTTGTGACCCTATAGACTGTAGCCTACCAGGCTCCTCTGTCCATGGCATTCTCCAGGCAGGAATACTGGAGTGGGTTGCCATGCCCTCCTCCAGGGGATCTTCCTGACCCAGGGATTGAATCCATGTTTCTTANCTCTAGGGGATCTTCCTGACCCAGGGATTGAATCCATGTCTCTTATGTCTCCTTCATTGGCAGGTGGGTTCTTTACCACTAGTGCCACCTGGGAAGCCCAGTCTTCCCCACCCCCACCTTTAAATCAAGTCTTATGGACCAGCCTACCTGAGGTACCCAATAAGCATGATTCCATAAACATGTGTGCATACACGATTTGAACAGTCTGCTTTCTTTTTCTCTGAGACCAACCTTTTTCAGTCAGTATGATGTCTGTTTTATTACCTTGCATTTGTTTAGGACTTGAATTCTTCCTAGCTGGAAAATGCTAGAAGTTCTAAAAAAGAAACTTGATGTTCTTTAAAATACTGTATTATAAGGCCCAGTGGAACGCCAACCTGAACAGTGCCGCCTCTCCGCCCTCGCTCGGGCGTCTTGGCCACTGCCAGGCAGCTGTGCCTGGCCTGGCCAGGCGGCCCTGGGGACTGGCATATTTCACCATCCATGAAAACTTCCCTGTAATTCTCCTCACTCCAGTATTAAGAATTACACCAAATTAAAAAAATATGAACGAATATCCTAAAAAAAGGAAAAGGAAGACTTTACATCCTTCTCGTTATTTAGATTCCTCTGGAATAAGCAAAATTGCAGATGGATTGAATGGAATTTTTTCTGATCATTGTTACAGTGTTTGTTCTGTGAGACAACCAGACTTAAAATATTTTGACAACAAAATCTTTGATACAGAGACGTCGAATGAATTGCCAAAATTTACAGGTGGAATCTAGGCCAGAAACAGAAATTAAAACTACCTGGTTCCCAGTCCTGTACTTAAAATTCTAGACCACACTGCCTTTCCTACAGAAAAATCTGCTGATATTGAAATTTGTGATGAAAGACTGTGACTCCCCTGAATCAGTCCACCAGCGAACCCAAGAAGAGAGCCCCGTAAAAGTTCACACTGCTGAAGATGTTCCAATTGCCGCAGAAGTGCATGCAATTTCTGAAGACTGGGATGTAGAGACAGGAAACCATTCCTCTGAGAGTCTCCAAGTCCATCAGCTGGTGGCTGATGAAGAGCTACCAGCAAAACTTTGCAGAATTGTTGACAAGAGCCAAGCTTTGAATGTGACTGCTCAGCAGAAATGGCCTTTACTGAGAGCTAGCAACAGTGGCCTCTATAAATGTGAACTTTGTGAGTTCAACAGAAAATATTATTCTGATTTAAAGCAGGCGTATGATCTTGAAGCACAGGTGTTCTGGTTCAAATGTGTGTCGAGTATGCAAAAAGTTTCTCTACCAGCATGCTTCTGATTGAACATGCCAAACTGCATGAAGAGGATCCTACATTTATAAATATTGTGATGATAAGAGTAATTTTTGAGAACTTCAGCCAGCACATTGCAGACACCCATTTTAGTGATCACCTCTATTGGTGTGAGCAATATGACATACAGTTCTCCTCAAGCAGTGAACTGTACCTACATTTCCAGGAGCAGCCGTGGTGAACAGTATTTGTGTCAGTTCTGTGAACATGAAATGAGTGATCCAGAAGACTTGCATAGCCATGTGGGAAATCAGCATGCATGTAAATTAATAGAGTTAAGTGATAAGTATAACAGTAGAGAACGTGGACAGTATAGCCTCTTCAGCAAAATCACATTTGGCAAATGTAAAAACTTCTTTGTCAAGTATGTGGGTTTTGGAGTAGACTTCATACAAATGTTAACAGACATGTTGCTACTGAACACAGTAAAGTTTTTCGCCATGTTTGTGATGACTGTGGGAAAGGCTTCTCAAGTATGCTAGACTATTGCAAACATTTAAATTCACATTTTTCTTAAGGGATTTATTTATGTCAATACTGTGAATATTCAACAGGACAGATTGAAGATCTTAAAATTCATCTAGATTTCAAGTATTTGACTGATTTACCTCACAATCGTAGTGACTGATGAGGTTTGGAAATGAAAGGGAATTAATAAGTCACCTTCCAGTCCATGAAACAACTTGATTGTTCTCTTTAACTTCCATAATGTTGATGTGAAATAATTAATTAGACTTTTTTGGAGGAAAAAAAGTTATTATAGCCTTTTGGGTTTCCTCTATTAACATGTGAGCCAGCAGGGCAAGTGGACTGCATACCTGCTGTGTGCTTTTCGCATACCTTTTTGATGTGCAAACTGTGTGTTACTCAAAATACTTGATAAATAACTTATGAATGCATGCCTTTTTAGAATGACAGGATGACTAGTTTATAGGCAATAGGAAAGATGTTGATAAAGAAAATTCCAGATCATTGACTTTTAAAGTATTTTAGATCTGGTAGATCTATTTCTATACTCGTGTTCTTGGAATAAGCCTACAGCTTTCCTCTGAATATGTGAAAAGACTGCTAAAATCTAGCGTAATAGATTCTGCAGAGGCCATTTTTTGCCTTTAGTCAAATTGCTGCTTAAATGAGAGTCATTAAGAAATGGCAGATTCTCTCATCTTTTCTACATCAAGTTCTGTAGTACCAAAAAACCTAAATGGGTTATATAAGAAGATGTCCTTTTGCATTAGAAATGAGATCTAAAGGGGTAGGCCATCTGCAGCTCACTCATATAGAGTGTTGTTTTAGTCACTCAGTCATGTCATACTCTTCGCGACCCCATGGACTGTAGCCCACCAGGCTCCTCGGTCTATGGGATTTTCCAGGCAAGAATACTGGAGTAGGTTGCCATTTCCTTCTCCCAGGGATCTTCCCGACCCAGGGGTTGAACCTGTGTCTCCTGCATTGCAGGCGGATTCTTTACCACTGAGCCACCAGGGAAGCCCATAAATAGAATAGCTCTGGCCAATAGAAATACAATGAATGGCATAGATGTAATTTAAAATGCACCAGTAAGCATATTAAAAAGAACAAAAAACTATTAATAAAAACACACTGCTCCCATCCTACCAATGAGAAGCTGCATAAACTACAAAATATTTACAGCCTGCCAGAGCTAAGGTTGCAAACCTATTGAATCCAAAAAGTAAAAGCACCTCCTAGAAGAGAGGTGGTGACAACTGACTTCATCTTTGACGTGGCTGTGAACAGGACAGTGCAGGGAAGAGGAAGCTTCCACAGATGCAGGTAAGGAGACAGCAACTGAGCTTGCAGTGAAATTTAGCTGACGTGGCCCCTTTAAAAAAAATTTTTTACCTGCTTATTTTTGGCTGTGCTGGGTCTTCACTGTTGCTCGGGCTTTTCTCTAGGTGCGGCAAGCAGAGACTGCTCTTCATTGCGGTGCGGCAGCTTCTCCTGGCAGCGGCTTCCCTTGTTGTGGAGCACAGGGTTAGGGTGTGTGGGCTCAGTGGGTGCAGCTCCCAGGCTCTAGAGCACGGGCTCAATAGTTGTGGCACACAGGCGTAGTTGCGCCATGGCAGGTGGGATCTTCCTGGACCAGGAATCGAACCCTTGTCTCCTGCATTGGTAGGTGGACTCTGTACCACTGAGCCACCAGGGAAGCCCCTGACACGGGGCTTGGGAGACAGAACTCTCTTGCGTAGACTCATGGAGTGCTTGTGAGAGACTGGGGGCAAAGCAGGAGAGCTGAAGGATACACCAGCTGAGGCACACATCTGTGGGCCAAACCAGAGGATAACAAATCCACAGGCACTTTCGGCCTTGTGCAGCTTTTCATAGTTTTCAGCTGGGGGAAAAGCAACTGTGTGAGAGGACCCCCAACCCCGAAGTAGAACATGGGGCCTGCTGCAGAGGGAGAGCAGGAGAGAGAAAATACGCTCTTCAGGCATACAGTTTCCAAGTATATCAAAGACAATTTTTTGACGCAACCCTTGAATAACTTGGTAAAGAGTCTGCCTGCAATGCAGGAGGCAAGGGTTTCAATCCCTGGATAGGGAAGATCCCCTGGAGGTGGGCATGGCAACCCACTCCTAGTAGTCTTGCCTAGAGAATTCCATGGACAGAAGAGCCTGGTGGCCTATAGTCCATGGGGGTCACAAAGATTTGCACACGACTGAGCAGCTAATACTTCCATTTTCAAATAATTTAATCTGTGGTGAGCTGAATCTAACCATAGAGCCCAGCCCCAGCTCAACTACAGATTAGTTGCACTCAAACTTCATGGCTAACATCCTGATGGAAAAAAAGATCTGCCCCTTGCTGAACATAAAATTTATTTCAGCCGCTTCAATTTTTAAACATTATATACTGCATTCCACCAAAATTACG